ATTGATTATATCTTGCATATCTAATATAGCAATTATATTTTTTTTCTCGAAGAATTTTTCCATTGTACTAAACTTTTCTATAGTAAAGTCATCGGTACATTAATATAGAGTGACATCTATTCAATTTTATTAATCAAACATTTTCAGATCGATCTATTCTTCTAATTATTTATGATTAAAAACAAAACCTATTTCAAATAATTTCATATCAAAGTTCAATTATCTAAAAGAATATTATAGAGGTCCTATTTATGTTAAATGGTAACAAGAGAAAGAAAACATAACGAACAAATTAGGACAACTGCTCGCGTATTTTCCCTACTATTCGTTCATTCACAAAAAAAAAAGAACTTTATTTCTTTTCCAGATTTTTTACTTCTATTCTGTAAAAATCAATGACTGATACAGAAGTAGGAATTTCCGGTAATAATAATGTTACAGGTGTTGATACAGAAATTGATTTATATGCTGATGTTGTTGAAAATGAACTTGAAACAGTATGAACAAATATTTTATTTCATTAAGAATAAAACGTATTTGTATTTTCTTCTAGGAAACCGATGATAATTATGGAATTCAAAGTGAACATCTTAAACATATGCAACAAGATGCTGATTTATACGATGATGTAATAACAACACAAACATCAGCAACTGATTTTACTGATATAACACATTCAGTTAATCAAAATAATACTAAAATTGATCAACCAAATGGACCTATTACGAGTGGAAGTTCATCATCACATGTATATAGTGGAAAACGAGTTTCACTTTATGTTGGTCAACTAACTTGGGTATGTGAATAAAAATATTTAGCAAAAAAAAAACAAACAAAAACTTGGTTTTTCTTATTTTTTTAGTGGACAACTGATGCTGATTTATCAGATACTATTCATGATATAGGAATAAATGATTTACTTGAAGTTAAATTTCATGAAAATCGTGTTAATGGTCAATCAAAAGGGTAAGTCGTTATTATTATTATTATAGTTTAATCTTATTGTCATTTTTATGTTTTATAGTTTTGCTGTTGTTACTGTTGGTTCTGAAGCATCATCTCGTCTTATATTAGAAAAAATACCAAAACGTGAAATTCATGGACAATTACCAACTGTTTTACCTTTTAATAAATCTTCATTGAGCTTTTTTGAAGGTACTACTCGTAAAGATGTACCTATGGAAACAATGCCACCAATGGGTGTACCACCTCGTAAGATTATTTTTTTTTTTGTTTTAATGAATTAACTTTGAAAATCATTTATTTCGATCATCTTGAATTGTTTTTTTTTTAGTTCGTCCTATGATGCATCCACCAATAGGTCTTCCATTACCAATACCTCGTGGTGGTCCTATGGATGGACCATATCGTTTTTCACCTCAGGGACATGTTATGTTATCTGGTGCACCAGCTGGTATGGGTCGTCCATCATTACAAATAGCTATTGGTCAACGTGGTCCTGTACCTGGTGGTCCTATGATTCTTGGACGAATGCCTGGTCCACCTCAACAGGTTGGTGGTCCTCCACAACAATCTGTTATTGTCATGCAACAATCACAACGACCTGGTGGACCTCCAGGTACTAGTGGACCTCCTCTTATGAGACAATCTATTCGACCTGGAACACCAGGTGACTTTATGACAAAAGATATCATTTATTTTTATCATATATATATGATTATTTTATTCTTTTCTTAGGTGTATCTGTACCTTCAAATTCCATGACTGTTCTACCTGGTCAACATCAATCTGGTTATTATCCAGGTCAACCAGTACCAGGCCAAGGAGTATGTTATTTTTATTTTTAACAATATATAAATAATAATCTTAAATTCTAGGGTCCTCCACATGGTCTTTCTATGCAAGGTCAACCACATCCTGATCCATATTATCGTGGTGTTGAAAATCCAGCAAATATGATGCCTATAAGTGAAGCAGAATTTCAAGAAATTATGGAACGTAATAAAACTGTATCGAGTAGTGCAATTGCTCGAGCTGTTCAAGATGCATCTGCTGGTATATATTTACATTATTTGTTATTTAAATTGAAATTTTCGACTCCCGACAGGCATAATCATTTCGAAAAATAGAGACTTTCAATTCTATCAAACAAAATTATATTAATTTTTTTTTTGAAATATTCTTGTTAGAAAACATACTCTATACTGTGTTGACTAAAAATCTGTTTTTGAAAATCACCAACAACTTCATCTTATTTTGATAATTTAAATCCTACAGAAATTGTTTTTATTTTTAAATAATTAGGTGATTTTGGTACAGCTATTGAAACATTAGTTACAGCTGTATCACTTATCAAACAATCAAAAATAGCTCATGATGATCGATGTAAAATATTAATTAGTTCACTTCAAGATACTCTTAAAGGCATTGAAGATAAATCTTATGGACAAAGGTAAATAAAAAAATTTTGTATATGTTTAATTTTCAAAAAACAAAATCTTATAGAGCACGTCATCGAAGTCGTTCTGGATCACCTCGTGAATCACGTAAGAAACATCGTCACCGTACACGTAGTCCACGTGATCGCAATGAATATCGACGTAGTAGTGAAGATTACGATGGAAAATATAGTCGTGATCATCGACGACGATGAAAACTATTTTGCTTTTTTTTGCATATTTGTGAACAAAAAAAAAAAAAAAATTGAAACGAACACAAGACATAAAATCTGGTAAGCTGTTCAATAAATTTTTTGTATTCACTTGTTTATAAAAAAAAAGAAAAAGTTTTTTTATTTTTTCTTCTTCTCATGATCGTTGTGTGTATGTGTGATTGTTTTCTTTCTCGTTTTTTTTTACAATCCCCTCATCCTAATGTCTAATTAGTAAGATGGATATATATATTAATATCGTTATAATTCTATTAAATAGAATTATTTATTCTTTTAGTCATGATATAAATGAATAGTCAAATATGTTTTTTTTTTATTATTTTATTTTTCTATACAACGTCATACTTTTATTTTGTTTTTTTTTTTTCGAATAACAAAATTTAAATAATCTTTATTGTTATTTTTTTCATAGCATTTGGAATATTGTTTTAAATTTTTGTTATTGTCTTTTTTATTTTCATTCATATCTATATAGATATACGAATTGAGATATGACGTATTCTCTACTATGCAAATGCATGGATTTTTAAAATTTTATTTTGTTTTAAATTTCTTTTCTTTTTTTTTTGCGTTTTTGTTTCCCATTAATGATATAATAGTATTTTGATAAGATATATATATATAGTATTCAATTTTGTTTTATTCATCGATGTATATAAATAAGTCATTTTTTTCTAAATAATGAAATAAATAGTTTATATTATTATATAAATAATGATTATTATTATTATTGAACAATAAAAATGAGAAAATTTTGGCAAATAAGTTCCTTGAGATTTCTGTTTTTCATTAAACAAGTATCATTCAATGAATGCTTGTTAATCTTATAAAAACAGTAAGTGTATATAAAAGAATAAGTCTTTAAATAGAATCCTCGAAGGATTTAAAGGTAAAATACGATGGATTGATTTTCATTGTAAATAAGAATATTATCTTTTTGTTTTTTTTTTCTCTAGTATTAGTCTTCATGTATCATTTTTTTTTAATAATTATGTTTCAAAAATAATAATTGTTTGTGTATATTGTATTATTTTTATTTTATAGGTCAACGACTCGAGTGAACGATGATCACCCATGTTTCTTTTTCTTTTATTGTTCTTGGCTTTATTGTACAAAGTTTCTTTTTTTTTTCTTTCCTTCGTTTTTTTTTTCTTCTTGTTTACTCTCTATATTACTTTATTGTACTGTTCATTGATGTTGTTTCATTTTTTTTTTCTATGTTGGTGTTTGTGTATAAATATGAAAGAACAGAAAACATTAAAAAAGAAATATGTGCTTCGAAAATTTTATATTATTTACAAAAAAAGGAATTAATAATGCTCTATTGTCAACATGAAAGTCAGCATTGATAATATTTTGAAAAATTAATAGTGATCGATATGTTTATTTTTTTTTTGCAAGTTATTATTCTACTTAGAAATATATGTCGAGCACTCAGTAATAATCAGCATCCTCTATATTCAGTCAAGGTCAAATGAGATAGTAAATGCCATAATATTGTTTTTCTTTTTTTATCATGAATGGATTTGTTATTAATAAGACAGAATGTTCGTATTAAACGATGCAAATAAATTGATTAACTTCGAAACGATCTTGTGTTGTACATTTATTTATATTACTGCTTGTGAATTGTTGATAGGTTTTTGTCCAGTTTGATTTGCATGGGGGATATTCTATCTAATATAAATCCTTATCGACTAAGTTCAGTTGTGTCTCAATTGAAGTTTTTTCTGTTTTGCTATAGAGAAATGTCAAAATAAATAGAATAAAATAATCTTCTTGTGATTAACAATAACATAAGTACATCGGTTTTTGACATTTTAATTTTGTATGGACAGTGGGGAATTTAAACGAATTATTACCAGTATTCATGATGATTTTTCTATTATTGAGATCTGTGGAAACAAAAACAAATAAGAAATAAATCTTACAAAATATTCTAGTTTTTTATTTTTTCGTTAATTTAAGTCATAAAAGCTTCACTCATCTATGACTGTTGTCATCAATAATATTGCATCGAACATGAATGATGTGGATCTTTTGTGTACTCGTTTTGGATATTCAAGCATAATTTTATGACAGCTTGTTGTCTCTATAATATTGTTTATGTAATCTTCAATCGAAATAAATCAGACAATAAGAACAACAAAAAAAAAATTGTTTTTAATTTAAAATAATCATTTTACTTAGTATCAAATGATCTTAATTTGTATTCAAAAATTAAATATTCCTATTAACAAAACAAAAAACAACTACATGATGAAAAAAATAAAAACATTATTTCGAAATTATTATTAGAGTCTTCATAATGTTTACGATCATCTATGAACTATAGATAAGTAGATATTGTCATGAATTCAAGTAATATTTAACAAGATTTTGAACGTTCATCACGCATAATATTATTTTCTATATTATTATTAACATTTTTCGACACTTGATATTGTTGTTTTAATGGAATTTTACTTTTTGAAAATGTACCAGATATATTATTATGTGGTATAGGTGATTTGATATATGAAAAGTTTGAAAGAAATGGTCGTTGGATCGCTAATTCTTTTTGAAAAAAATATAAATTGAAAAATCATTGGATTAATTCATTCATACTTCGTTCTTGTTTTAATGATTGATCTTGTAGTGTTTGATATCGAGGTGTATTATCAGATATTTCTAATGAAGAAAGAATTATTTTTTCTTTTTTGAGCAATACCTACATAAACATAATACCTCGTTCTCGTTGTATGAACATATGATCAGAAGTTGAGTTAAACGTAGGAGTTTTTATAAGTCCTTTGTTTTGATTTCTGTTTAGAGATAAATATATAAATATAAATGTTATTAGAAATCATGTTTTTTTTGATGAACTTGTTAGATGGTTTCATTAAATAGTTTATTTGATATAGATATTTAAAAATATGCACAAATGAAAATTATCGAATTGAAATTCTGTTCACGAGGGAATCATAAGTCACTTATTGGATCCAAAAGGAAGTTTCCTTAAGAGTAGAAAAAAAAATCTAAATCTTCGACCAGAAAGTTTCAGCTAACAAGAATATTTCTTTGTCGACTTACGAAATTTTGCAAAAAAAAATGTCAGATATATCAGAAGAATTGAGTTTTCTGAAAAACTCAATATTTCAGATTGAAATTGTGTAATTTGATTATTCTTTAAAGACTTTTTCTAATCTGAGAAAAACCTTCTTGCTAGCCCTTATAACTTCAAATGACGACTAACAGACAGATTCATTTTCTGATCAAGTTAAATTATTCTATCTGTAAGCATATTAACTTTTTCTCGATATGAAAATTCGTTGATAATATTAAAACTTTTATAGAAAACATACGATCTCTTCGAAAATTCATTGTTGATATTTAAAGATCTAATGCCAACATTAAGTTGTTGTTCTTGTCTTTGTTGTCTTTTTATTGAAATAATAATAGTAATAACAGTACCAATTATAAATCCAATTAAAAAACATGATATTCCAATAATTAATGATAGAAGTATATGTGATGTACGTTTAGATTTATCATCAATATTTCGTTTTAATCTTTTCTGTAAATAAGATGATTGTACAGAATGACATTTATATTGTTGATTATAATATCGATTTGTTAATGAACATGTAGCTATTAGATATTTTAATTGTTTATAACATTTATCTATATATATGCCACTTGTATTCGGTTCAATACGAAGTCGATTATGTGTATTATCTGTCCAGGACAAGTATGTATGTTGAGTACTCATTGGATAATTAATATATGAGGAGAAGAGTTGAATTTCAAATAAATGAGCCAATGAAATGAAACAGATATGCCAAATCATAATAGAACTGAAAATATTTTAAGAGAAATTTACGCGCTTCATACATTATACGAGTGAATCGATTTGACTTTGAATATGTTTAAAGGTGTAAGATCTTGATTTTTGTTATGCAATTAAATTAAAGAAATATTCGAACAATGCTCTCAAGATTAATTTTGCAGTATTTCTTTAGAATGAATCACCATGATTCATGAGAGAAGTTCTTCCATTGTTCAATCATGTAACTTCAGATGAAAGAGTTCGTGATCTTAGCTTATTGCTACGAAGATACTGTCAAGTTTCAGATCTTTTGATTTGCTTCTTTCCTAAAATAAAAATATCATATCAGAGTACTAAATCTGCCGTTAGACAGCACTCCAAACCGTAACGTTGCCGAAAGACAGAAGTGTTCTGCGTCTTCATAAAATTTTGTAACCTTTGCTTATCGTGATAGTTCTTCTTATTATATGAAATTGTAGAAGACACATAAGTAGCCAAAGTGAACATTTTTCTGATTAATCTTTATAGTTTTAATAGAGTTTAGATAAAATTTATTTTTGTTATTCTTATTCATATACAAATACACTTTTTATCTATCTTAAGTTGTAGAAATAACTGTATATCTTTTATTATATTTCACAAAAAAAAACAATCAGTTAATTAAATAGTAGGTTTTTCTTTTTTTTTAATTATTTATTTATGAATAATTATAACTACTTTCAATACTTGATCGATAGTTTGTATGTTGAGTAGATGATAAATTTTTCATACATCCTGTAAAGAAAATGATTGCGATGATAATACCACACATAACTAAAAGAAGAACAAAACCACCAACACCCAATAAAACATAGAGTAATGTATTATTCGATGATGGTTTTTCTGTAAATATTAAATTCTTTCACAAACAACAACAACAATAAAATTAATTGAAAACTCTACCTTGCAAAGCGATTTGTGGCGATGGTGGAGGTTCTTGTTGGACTTAAAATAAAACAAATATTTCTTGTACTTCTCATCATTAAATTAATCTTACTGATAATTTGTTGTGGAGATGGTGGTTGAACTGGGTGTGGCTCTTGTGGTTGTTCTATAATATTGTATCAAAGAATTTCATCAAAATAAAGTTCAATTCAAATACATACTATTTCCATTAAGTAAATTACCAAGTAAATCAAAAGCAAGTGGTGCAACACCTCCAATAATTGCTCCTATTGCTCGATTTGAAAATATAGAAGTTTCATTCTCAATTGTATAATTTTCTGAAACAGCTGCCCCTTACAAGAAACAAAACAAAGATTTGAATAAAAGAAAAGTAATCTCATATGTTTTTTTTTTAAACTTACTATCACATATAAATAATAGATTTTCATTACATTCTAATCGACTTAAACATAATGTACCATTTTTTAAATTATTTCTTTTTATAAATACACATTCGAAATTAGAATTATTTTCATTTTCATCACATAAAACATCTTCTAATTCTTTGACTATTTTGAAAACAATATATACAGAATTTTTCGAAAGTCTGAACGAAAAATAAAACGTGAATATTTCCTCAGTAATTCAAGAGAATTAAATAGCTTTTCACTGAAACTTTCAGATTAGGTATCTTCACCTTAAAAAAAGTCAGGATTGTTAAACTAGTACTGTCACAAATCAATGACCGTAGAGTAACTAATGAAGAAATAAGAACGCTTATAAAAATTAGCCAGGATTATATGTTCAATCTATTTAACTTTTCTTTATAGACAACTTATGATCCCTTGAAAAGTTGGAGCTTTTGTTTTATAATAATGATTGACTCGAATTTTAATTCTCATTTCTGTAGACACAAAAATTCTATTTGAAAACTTTAATACATATGTGACTAAACTATACAGAAAAACAAAATGTTTGAATTCCTCGTATTGTTGAGGAGCTATTCACGATTTTCTTTCGTTCGAACATTTCGAACACCCTATACATTAGTTTAGAAAAAAAAATTACTATTTAATCTATTTATCCATGCACCAAGACGAAAAAATAATGTTACAGCACTTGAAAATGTACTATGAAGTAATGTATTTATTGTGAATTCAAATTGTTTAAATTCATCTATATTGTATAGATAAAAAATTTGTGCAGAAAATTTATGACAAATATGAGTTGCTCGATTATATGATAGACCACCTTCAGATGGTACAGCAAATGAAAGACAACGATCAGTTTTCCATTGAATCCAACCCGATAGACAAGAAAGGCAATCATTTTGTTCATTATTCCAAAATGATGATGATTTTTGACATACACATTTATTTGTATTTGAACATATCAATGGATTAACACAAGAGAAATTATTAGAACATGATTCATTAAATGATGATAAAACTATATAATTTCGATAAGACGATATAGTCAATTAATTATTATATATATATATATTACCTGAAGAAGACTTAGATAATTTGAATAATGTGTACTGAACATAGATGAACCCAATCAGAAAGTGAAACATAGAATACGAAACTATTTACAGTAAAATACATGAAACAAAGCGCGGTAATAATTATTCGTTCTTTGTTCTTCTTAATATAAATGTGTTTAGCAATTACCATTTTTAGTAGTAATATCATTAGTCATTTTACTAATTCCGAATGAATATTTTTTTTTCTTATAACTTAATTTAGAAAAATTTAAAAAGTTTGTCAGTAGTGAACAAAAGTCTCCACTTCCTCGGGTCTCATGTTAAGTTTTACATTGCTTCTTGTCAAATGCAAAACTACTTGTTAAATTTACATGAATAATGTTTTGGTGTAAGGAAAACTTCTCTTCAAGTTTGACATTGATACATTGAACTGTTACTGAGTGTTGAGCTTATGAAGAGCAATAGATGGTATTACTTGAAATCAATTGTTACAATAAAATAGGTACAGTTCTCGAAAACCTACATGTATTTCGATAAAATTAGTAATTTAAATAGTTGAAACAAAATACTAAATAAGAAGGCGTCGATTGATCCACAAGATCATTATTCTCTTTAACTTACGTAATCGAATATACAATGAAAAATGTAATTTTGTAACAGATGATCAATGTTTAAACTATAATCAAAGACATCATGACTTGTGATTAGTTAGTGTCTATGGTAAGTTCAAGTTATTAAGTGCAAGAACTTTGCATCAGTCTGACATTAGTTTTAGAAAACATATTGGGCAATTTTATTATATAATAAGATGAGAAAAAAAAAATTTCTGATCAATATGTAGCATCACTAGCAGTCGAATCGACACTAGTTCTATCATGTCGTCGATGAAAGCGTGATGGTCGTGGTGTTGTAGTTGAACTATTGTCACTTTTCAAAAGAAGAAAACCACCACAAAAACAACAACAAAGTATTATAATTAAAATGAGAACAACAACGGCGGCAACTAATTCATGAAGATAATTTTCATAATTTTGTTTTCGGAAAAATCAAACTTACTGCTAATGTAAAGTATTGTATTATTTGATTTTGAAGTTTCTATATAATAATATTAAAATAAACAGAATGAAATGATATAATGATACATACGTGGTAACGGTTGTTCTATTTCTGTCTTTGGAGGATTTGTATGATCTTAAAATATAAAAACTCGTTTTTTAAAATAATTATTTATTATATCTTTACAAATAATAATTGGCTCTGGTGGTGGTGGTGGAGGTGGTGGAGGTTGTGGTTTCGCTGAAATCAAATTAAAATAAAATTATTTCACACATTTATTCTACTACATTTTTATACTATGACTTACAACCAAATAGATTTCCGACAAGACCACCAATTAAACCAAATAATCTGTTATCATTAGTAATATCATTTTGAATAATTGCTAATTCTGTAAAATACTAATGATAATGAGAAATGTTTTAATCAAATTCTAAGATAGCATTCACGATGAATGTCTTACTCTCACAAATATATGATAATTTTTCATTACATTGTACATGACTTAAACAAAGTGATGTATTCATTTTATTATTTGAAAATTGTTTTGTTATACGAATACAATCATTCCATAACCATGTATCATTTTCATATTCCATATCACACCATTCATATGAATTCATCCAATTTGTATCTACAATTTAATAATCATTTGAGTTTAGAATTCATTTTTCTAACTTACAATCAGTAAAATTAATCCAAATACCGTTACTTAAGAATTCATTCAGTTCATTAACATGTTCACCTTGTAATAAAGTATTTATTTTATATTGAAATTCTATATAATCTTGATAATAATCAATTTGTAATAATTGTCCTGAATATGTTAAACAAGCATTTTTTGCTTTTTCACGTGCGATACCACCATCTGGTGGTTGTATAAATAAAAGACATGTCTCATTTTGCCATTCAATCCATCCATATGGACAAAATAGACATGAATTTTGTTCTACATTCCAAAATGTTACAGATGATGATAATGGACAGATACATTTATTACTTGAATTAGAACAAATTAAAGGATAATGACAAGATAAATCATTTGAACAGAAATCACCAAATGATGCTAAAATATTATAATAGAAAATAAAAATTATTTGATTTTAACTAACCTGAAGATACAAAGGATATGAAGATAATGAAGTTAAGAACATAAGCGAACTCAAAATGAGAACGCAACATAGAAGAATAGAACAATCTAATACAAAGTTAGAATATTAATTGAAAGAAATGCGCTAAAAATAAATCTCTTATCTCATATTAGTTCAATAAAAAATAACACTCGAATATTTATATGGTATTTTTTTAAATGAATGCCATATTTTCTATGAAAAACATTCGGAAAAACTGTACACAAAGACAGATCTTAACGAATATAATATATCTTCTAAAATTCGTCGATTAACAAACAAACAAAAATGTTTCATTGTTTTCATGTATTATCTTTTCTGTCTATTGTTCTCTAGCTATATTTATCCATGTGTCTATCGTTTATGTTTGGTGTTTTTTTTTTCCTTTCAAAACTAAAATGTTATCGTTATCAAATAGTCAAAGTGAACCATCAGCACTTTTATCTAATGCTCGATTAACTATTGCAACATTAATCCAACGACCAAGTACAATAACAACATCAAATGCTTTTGATGAATTTTCTATATTAGATAATTTAATTGATGTTAGTAATGATGTTGATCGTTTTGAAGGTGGTGAAAATCGTAAATTTTTAAATATAGCACAATTAATAACAGCATCAACATGTATTTATTCTCGTCGTGTTGATGCACTTTATAAATTAATAAATACATTTCAATCATCATCAACAGATAATAAACAAGATGAAAGTATTTCAGATGAAGATCAATCATTAGAAACAATTATTATTGAGAAACAAGAAGAAAATGAAATAAAAAAAATTGTTAAAGAAAAAAAGAAAAAATCTAAACAAAATCATCATTCATTTATATGTAATGATTTAACTAAAATAAATTTAAATTTATCAAAAAAATTTTTTCTTGATCGAACATCTATATTTGATTTGAAACTTTTTCAAAAAAATATACCAATAGGAAATAAACAATTTTGGTTAAATGATACTCAACCGATGATATTTGATCTTCTTTTTCATAATCAATCAATTGAAAACAATCAAAATGATCAACAACAAGAACCTGAACAATTAATTAATGTACTTAATAAATTATCACCAGTTAAGCATCAGTCAACATTGAATGATGATGATGATATTCCATTACCTATATCTACATATGATGATGATCAAGAATCATCATGGAATAATGAAAATATAATTGAAAAGAAAAAAATAAATAAAAATCGAAGAAAAAAATTAAAAAATGATATTGATCTTAATATATTTCGTCATGGTCTTACAGATGAACAACAAGAACATTTTCGTTTTCATAAAATGAAACCATTATCAAATAAAACTAAAATTGAACAAACACAATTTTTTATTAAAAAATTAAATCGAAATCATTTCAATAAATTAATTAAAGGTTAGTAGAATAAATCTTAGTTTTTCATTATTTATTTGAGTAAATTTCAATACAAAAATTTACGTGAAACAAAAACAAATGTTTAAGATAGCTGTATTTCAATGTTTACTCATTCTATTGGTGTATTTATGCTCATAATTACTAACCTATGAGTCTACATTTTTAGAGTATAGTATTTCCTATATTCAATCAAGAAAATGTTGATATAGGCTTAATAAAACAATCTGTAATCAGCAACGATTCATTCTTGACTAGAGACAGTCCCCTTCTTCGTCAATATGTAAAAATTATGTCAAATCTTTGTTTTTTTGTTAGATTGCCCATTATCGATTGTATCTATTTTTATTTATCCAACAATTAATATTCATCATTTAACAATTCGAGAACGATATTCAATAAAACTCAATCAACCATTTTCTCGTACGATTCGTTCACCTCCTATACCTATATCTGATGTACTTAATGAAAATACATTAATTTCATCATCATCACCAGCTTCACCTTCATTTATTCATGAATTTAATGAAGATATACAAGAAGATGTTGATATTCGTCTTCAAACTGATATGGAACAAATACTTGATGCAGCTACTTATCATTCAAATGAAGAACAAGAACATAATAAAATATTTCTTGAACTTCGTTCATTAATAATGTCATATATGAATAAACATGATTCAGTTAAAACGATAAATCTTGATGATTTACTCGAAACACTTGATGATAATTATTCATTACCACTAGTTTTTAGTCAATTATTACATTTATGTGCTGCAACACAACGTTATTATCTTTATTCAACTTTTAATGATAATTTGTTTATAGAAAAAATGATGTAGACATTTGTTTTATATAGATTTCTGAACTAGTTTTTATTTATTTATTGTAAACAAAAAAAAAATATGGATAGATTTTTTATAGAAGAAGCTGAATTTTATTCGTTCTTTTCTTCCATACTTTTCCAAGATGTTAAGCAGTTAGTTCCAATCGAGATAGTAGTTTTAATAACCAATGCAGTTTTTTATCGAATGTATCTTGTAGCAAAATTTCACACTCATCTTGCTATAGAATGAATTACATATTAGAATTGAAAATATCTTGAATTGATCTATTGTTTTTTAGTAAACATTTTATAGAAATGAAATGAATGTTCGAGATTTTTAGTGCTATTAATGTTTTCGAAAAAAAATGAACGATCGAAATTAGTTTCATTTCTTCATTTAGAACAGTCATATATTTAATTCTTTCTCAATATTGTGCTGTACACAGTGAATTAAACTATGAATGAGAACGGAAAAGAAACTTTTATTTAAAATTATAAAGCCAACAAGAAAAACGAATAATAGTAATGAAATCGTCTGGATATTTCTTGTGATGATGATAAATTTTGTTTATTTTTCTTCTATTCATCTACCATGCTTCCAATTGAACTAGCAACACTTGGTCTACCTTGAGATACACCTCCATTGTCACCAGTTGGATTACGTGTACTTGCTTTTTTATTTTTTATAACTATATATCCAGCGATGGCTCCAACAATAAGAATTACTCCTACAATAGCAATTATAATTATATTTGTCGTTGTTAGAAAACCTGGTTCGTCTTTAAGCTGAAAGTAGAAATAAAACATTGTCTTTATAGGAAAAAACAAATTACGGTTTATAACATACAGCTGCTGCTTCTAAACCAAGATGTTGTGGACTAAAGTCAGGGTCTTCTGGTGGAGGGGGTGGTGGTTCTTCAAAATCGATTGTATCACCTTCTGTTCCAGATGAAGTACCTTCATCTGTTCCGGATGAAATGCCACCATTATTAGTACCTACACAAAAAGAAGCCATACACAAATTTTAATCACGATTCTCAAATCTATTCGCAGTGTGTTTTTATTTGTCTTTTTTTTTTTTTACATACCATGATGCGTAGATGTTGCTAATTTCATACTAGCAGCATTCATTTCGCAAATAAATGGATATTTTTGACTACAGTAATCATCTGATAAGCAGAGAAAACTTGTACCTTTAGAACCAAAATTGTATGTAACACATTCTTCACGTTCAGTACCATTCGGACCTTAAAACAGAGATAAGAGAATGTGTTCGTGGTAAACAGTATTAATGCCACAAAAAAAACCTAGATTTTTTTGTCTCTAACTACGATCACCATCAATCCGAATGGGCGATGTATAGGGAAGAAACCGTCTAGGTTTCTTTTGATCTCAACCGGCTCTATCTCAAATACAAGTTACGTTTTATTGTAATACCTTGTCTAGTTCCTGATGTTGGTTCTTTTTGTAATGAATAACCTGCATGATATGTTGGATCACACCATTCTGTACTAGTCAAGTCTAGTTTCAGTCCATCAGGATCCATCCATTGAATAGTATGCGCTATAAATGAATTTCTCTTAATCTTCGTTTGCCATTACAACACAAAAAAAAACTTTCAATGACTTACGTTTTAATGAAGTTATCTTAGCACCAGCCCATGCAAGATATGGTTGATTTGGTTTTGGCTTCAATATCGTAGACCATATATGTATAAAAAGAGGTGTAGATATCCAATTTAATATAACAGGTCGAATAAATTGTTCATCATGATTATCACGCCATGTAAATAAATCAGCATATTGAGCACGACAATGAATTCTAGATGCTTCCCATGTTTTTAATTCATTAAAATATTTATAACATCTATCTTCTATTCATACTTACAAAAAAATGTATATTATAAATTTTATTCAATAAATATGTTTACTTGTCACA